CCTCATTTTTCTATCAGTCAGAAAATTTTTCATCCATGATAGAAGCTTACCTGTCACCCCTCCAATATTTTCCAGTTTCCAGAACAACCTCTTATGTGGAACTCTGTCGAAAGCCTTTTTTAGGTCCAGATAGATGCAGTCAACCCAGCCATCTCTTTCCTGTAATATCTCTGTGGCCCGATCATAGAAACTGAGTAAATTCGATACACAGGATCTTCCTGATCGAAAACCATACTGTCTGTCTGATATTATATCATTTCTCTCCAGGTGTTCTACCCATTTAGTTTTGATTAGCTTTTCCAATACTTTCACTATTACACTTGTCAATGATACAGGTCTATAATTGAGGGGGTCTTCCCTGCTGCCACTTTTGTAGATTGGAACTATGTTAGCCTGTTTCCACACGTCTGCTACGATTCCTGTACACAGGGATGCCTGAAAGATCAGGTGAAGTGGAATGCTGAGCTCAGATGCACATTCTCTCAGAACCCATGGTGAAACGCCATCTGGGCCAGCTGCTTTGTTCCTCCCGTACAGATTCATATAGCACCGTATAGGTGTACAGATTCCTGAGCCTATCGGGCTCTGTCATATCTACACTTGAAACTGTGTATGGAGTGAGCCTCCACCACATCACCCCCTAATGCATTCCATTTGTCAACCACTATGACACTAAAAAAGTTCTTTCTAATATCTCTGTGGCTCATTTGGGCACTCAGTTTCCACCTGTGTCCCCTTGTGCGTGTTCCCCTTGTGTTAAATAGACTGTCTTTATCTACCAGAATTATCTACCAGGTGTATCGGTTCCTGTGCCTCTTGGGCTCTGTCATGTCTACATGTGACATTGTATGGGGGTCAGCCTCATTACTTGTGTGAGGAGTCACCACATTACTTCTTAGTGCTTTCCCGTTCCCATTCTGACACTCAAAAAAAAAAAAAAAAAAAAAAAAAAAAAAAAAAAAAAAAAAAAAAAAAAAAAAAACTAATTCTATCTGTGGCTCTTTTGGGTACTCAGTTTCCACCTGTCCCCCCTAGTGCGTGTGCCCCTTGTGTTACATATCTTGTCCTTCTCAACCCTGTCGATTCCCTTGGGTATCTTGTATGTGGTGATCAGGTCTCCCCTCACTTCCTCTTCCAGCGAAGTGTGGTTTCATTCCCGTAGTCTCTCCTCATGACTTCGGTAGTGTACTTTTTCTTTCTGAAGGGGTTCTGTTCCCTTCTCTGTTGACTGGGCGCTGGGGGAGCAGCTTGCTCTGTTGCCTCTCGCTTGGTCCCGCTGTTGGTGGGCGCTTTGGGTTGTCTTCCGGCCTCTGCTGGCGTCGGAGGACGGCTTCTCCCCCTTGGGGGGGGTTCAGAGCTGGCGGGGTGGGCTTCTTCCCTGCGCTTCGTCATTTCCTCTTCGTGGGTGCGTGGGGCGTGGTCGATCCGCCCCATCCTTCTGGGCTTCCCATCTGCTCTTTGCAGTCATGAGCTTTTCCAGTCTGCAGTTCTTCTGGACTACTTCCGTCTGCGCCCTGGATCCTCTGCCCTGCTCGGAGGACTGTTGTCTCCTGTTCGGATTCTGTTAGGGCCGGGTGCATGGATGGTGGACCTGGACCTCCAGGTCACTTCTTGGCACGTTCCTCTCCAGTTTTTCTGGGGCTAGCACGGTTGGTAATTACCTATGTGTACTTACCTAAGTGTCGTTACGGGATGAGAGCTACTCTCGTGGTGTCCCGTCTTCCCAGCACTCTGTCATATAATGCTTTGATTATAATTGTCATATTGTCATATAATGATTGTCATATGTCATAATATGTCTTCATATGATTGTCATACAATGCTTTGGTGGTGGGGCTTCAGGTTTGCTGTTTTTATTGCATTCCCTATTTTGTGAAGGGCACTTTGTATACTCTTTGCATCTTTACCGGATCTTAGTGCCCTGTCTGCGTCTGAGATTCGGTGTCTGGCCTACCTCGACGACTGGCTGGAGTGGGCTCCCAGTCAGTCCGCTTGTCTGCTCGCCAGGGGATGGTTCTTTCCAGATCGCTGGGTTTGGTTTCCTGGTGATCTGGAGGTTTTACCTTCTGTTTCCGTCCCGGGTTCGGACCTGGGCCTTGTTTCAGGCTCTTGGGCCCCTCATTGTCTTCCCTCCAGAAGTGTTACTGTGGCTGTGGTCCCGCCTTTGGCTGTTCAGGAGGGGGTCCCGGGTTGCTCAGCGGTTGTGCGGGCGGTTGTGCGGGAGTTTGCACTTCGGCGTGCTTGTCTGCCCGCGGAGTCGGGTTTGGCTCCGGCGTCGGTTGGTTCCTACGGAGACTCCACTTCCGCCTCTTGCATTCCTTGGGTTCCTCTGGGGATCTGGTGTTGGTGCTGCGTCACCAGCTTCCTCTTTGGGGTTTTCGGGGTTCCGTGCCTTGGCGGCTCCCCGAGCCTTCGCTCGATGTGTTCACGGACGGGTCGTCTCTCGGCTGGGGCTTTGTGACCTGTGCTCACCAGGTCGGCCGAGGTTGATGGAGTCTGTCTGTCCGTCGGGCTCACAGCCCGGTTCAGGTGTTCATGGCTGTCTGGTTTGCGCTTCGGAGGGTTTGGGTCACTAGGTACTCTACCGTTCAGCTCTGTTTGGACTGTTCTCTGGTGGTTCTTGCCGGAACCACAGGGGTTTGGTTAACCGTGTGGTTCGTGTCCGGGGTGTGTCCTGCGTCCTGGTGGACAGCTGTCTCGGTTCATTCCTCTTCGTGGGTTGGCCAGTCGTCGCCGATTCGTTTTGTTGGCTCTGTTGGGCTTATGGACTCCTGGCCATGGACGTCTTCGGGTCAGCGTGGTCTAGGCGTTGCCCATTTTGTGGCGCCCTTCCCACCTGCGAGGACTTCACGGTGGAGGCTTTCGGCAGGCCTGGTCGAGGTGGGGGGTACCTGTACCTCTTCTCCCGGTCCAGCTGTTGCTTCGGGTTCTGGCTCAGTTGCAGCCCATTCCCACGAGAACAGTCCTTATGGTTCCACTGTGGCCGGCCCGGCCTTCTTTTCAGACGCTGCTTGATAGGTGTCCGTACCCGGGGCGTTTTTCCTGAGGCTTCGCCTCTTTCAGCAGGCCGAATCGGTCCTGTCCGTGACTGGTTCGGCCTTCTCTTTGGCTCTTCGCGTCTGGTATTTTGACGCAGGTATCGCCATCTCTATGGTGTTCAGGTGGCTTTGTTGACGGTGTCCCACCTGCGAGCTTCGTCTTGGAGACTGTATGACGTTTATTACGTCTTCTCGCGTTTTGTTTCCCCTCCGGCCTGCTCATGAGTCGCCTGAGCCATCCTGGTCCTTGTTCAGGGTGCCTTCTTCTCTTCCCCTCAGTTTGTGGTAGCCCCTTCGGTTTCAGTTTCCTCCTCTTTGGTACTGGTGGTAGCTTTATTGGTGTGCAGCCTTTCTCTGTCCTGGCGACGGTCGAGACGGCTGCTTTCCGGAGGGGTTCTTGGGGTATTGGTACTTGTTTGGTTTGGCCGGGGGGTGCGTCCTGTGTTGTCCAGTTGTGCTTTTTGCTGTTGCCGGCGTACCGTGCCTGGGGATGCGCTGTGGTTGATCCGGTTCCTTCGTTCCCTGTTTTCAGGGCTCGGGTCTCCCGGGTCGTCCGCAGTGTTTTCCTTCTTACTGCGGTCTGTCTTTGCGCCCGTGCTGTTCAGACGTTTACAGCAATTGCTGCTGTGTGGTGACGTCTCGGGCTCATTTCGGGCGCAGGGAATTGTGGGTCGCACAGGTTTTTGGCCGCCCATCCATGTGTGCGTCTGTTCTTGGGCGTTCTTGTTGCCTTGGGTCGCAGGTTTGCGACCGGTTGTCTTGGCTTTGCGTTGCAGAGTTTGTGACGGCCGCCTCCCGGGTTAGCCCTTTCTTTTCCTTCTCTTTGGGTATGAAGCTCCAGGGAGCCGTAGGGGCTCCCCACAGAAAACCAGCGTTGAATGTAATGGAACGCCATTTTCTGGGTGAGCCCCGGAGGCTCCCTGGAAACCCTCCCTCCCACCGGTCGGCGGTTTTTTCGCGTTGGTTGAAGCTTAGCTTCCGAACTGGAGCTTGGCAGCCGGCGCGGTAGGTCCGGGGCTCCCCCCTCCCCCTCCCGGGGTGGGGAGGGCTGCGCGGACGATCGGCGCGGCAGTAAAGTGTGATGTTTGCTTGTTTCCTTGGGATTGTAGGGAGTTTTCTACCTCTCTGTTCGGTTTTGTTGTAGTGTCTTACCATGTGGGGTTTGTTTTGTTACGCCTACCTTTCTGGGTGCCTAACCCCGGTCGATGGCAGATAAGGAAAACCCCCAACCATATGGGGTTTTCCAGGGCCATTGCTCCCTGAAACCTCTCTGAAGGGGCCAGGTTCTGGCGCTGGTCCCTGGTAGGTCTGAACTCCTTAGCTAATGTCCCGGTCTAACATAACACACATTAGCCCGATAAGCTCCGGGGAGCCTCCGGGTCTCACCCAGAAAATGGCGTTTCATTACATTCAACGCTGTTTTTTTTGCGGTTTCGACATCCAGCCTTAGAACTGAAGGGTGGAAAGCTGGCGCGGGGGTTTGGGGCTCCCCTTTCCCCCTCCCTGGAAAGGGGAGGGGGTTGCGCAGACAGCGGTGCAGCAAAGTGGTTACATCATGCTTGTTTGTTCGTTTTCATTTGGGGAGTTCTATCCACTGGTTCGTTTCAGTATTTTAACCAGAATAGGGGTTTGTTTTGGGGCTACCACATAGGGGTTTCTAGGATATTGCTTCTCGTGCCTCTCTGAGGGGGCCAGGTTCTGGCTCATGGTCCCTGATAGGGCTAAGAACTCAATTCGCTTTGACTGATGCCAGAGTCTAATACCTTCATATCAGTCCAGATAGCTCCAGAGAGCCTGTGGGTCTCACCCAGAAAATGGTATTTCATTACAGTCAATGCTGATTTTTCTCATTTACTAATTTATAAAATGCATGTCTATATTCACATGATGTAACATACCAGTTTAGCTAATAAGTTAGTGTATGTACTAACTGTAAAATCTCAACCTCTCCCAAACAAATAGGAAGGCTTGGCCACGTTTCCATTTGGCAGACCCTGCAGCTCGTGAGTTTACTGCTCGCCTCGGTCCTGATGGAGGGTCACGTGGATACTCTGCTATAACACAGCGTATGTAAATGTTTGTATAGTTTTAGTGCAAAAAAAAGATAATGTTATACAATATCCTTGAAGTATTATCAAATATGTAATATAAATTTACTTTACTAAATTTTAATTGTCAGCATGATGTGTGGCTAAATTTGATTAAAATCTATATCTCTGTGTCTGTCCTAAATGTTTTAACATCATACCTACATGCATAAAATAATGAATTTAAACCCGTCAAATTTGAAATTATCATGGTACTGTATTCTAATTTAAACAATGCAGATCTGAATATGTGTGTCTGTATTTGCAGAATATTCAGATACAGGCTTGTCGTGGTACATAAATGGCTACCTTGCTCCTGATGTGTACATCAAGAGAAATACAAAATATAGGTTCTTGGTTGAAGGTGGCTCCAACCCGTATGACCCCAGAAGCTATCACCCTCTCATCATTACAGGTACTGTACATTTGTTGAAATTTAAGAGTAGCATCTGGTGCGACTGCTTAGTGGCACCTACTGGCAGTGAGAGTCCTGCTGCAGCTCCACCACTGTCTGTCAGTCACTGTTGTAAGAAGTGTCCACCACCAGTGCTACTGCCTTTAGTTCTAGAAGTTCCTCATGGTACTGCTGCTACAACTGGCTTCTAATCATTTTTGTGACATTCAAACTGGTAACAAAGGGTAAACCAAAATGGCTTGCCTACCATTTTTCTGCAGTTAATACTGGTAATAGTCTTCTTGGACTATTTTTGTTTGTGATGCCTGCTTGTAATACTACACTTGTAGCATTACAAGCAGTAAGACTTGTAGTACATCATAATTTTGCATTCTGCCACTCGATCTGCTTCTATTTATTTTGCAAGGGAAGTAACAGAAAAAGCCAACATTGAATGAAATAAAATGCCAATTTCTGGGTGAGACCTGGAGGCTCCCCGGATCTATACCGGGCTGATGTGTAGATATTAGACCGTGGCAATAGTCAATCGAAGGAGTTCTAAGCCTACCAGGGACCAAAGCTAAAACGTGGCCCCCTCAAGAGAGGCACAACCCTCGAGATATTGACATAATGGCATTGCAGATCTGGAATCAGGATGATAAGCTGATAATTTTAAATGCCTACAGCCCACCAGCAAGCAACACTTGGACAAAGGAAGAACTGGATGACAAACGAGAGGGCCTCATAATGGTCATGAGAGATATTATTGCACAAGCAGATAAAGATAAATCACGACTGTTGATACTGGGGGACTTCAACTTTAAAGCAATAGACTGGGAGGCCTATGAAGCAAGAACGGAGGACTTTTTGACATGCAGATTTGTGAACCTCATTCTGGAGACATTCTTGTATCAACACATAAAGCAGGCCACAAGAATGAGGGAAGGAGATGTACCGTCAGTACTGGATCTAGTATTCACCAGGAAAGAAGAGGAGATATTTGACATCCAGTACCTTCCTCCCTTGGGAAAGAGTGATCACGTCCTGTTAGACATTGATTATGCTTTAAGATATCATCTAGAAGAAAATGGGGACATTGAAACAGTTGATAAACTCGATTTAAGGAGAGGTCACTATGGGGAACTTCAAAATTTTTTTAATGAGTGTAATTGGACAAAATTGTTGCTAGGCAGGGAAATAAATGAAATGTATGCCAAATTTTTAAAAATATACGAGGAAGGCACACAAACATTCATACCAAAACAGAGATGCAGGGCCAGAAAACAGGATTGGTTTGACAGAAATTGTAACACGGCCAGATACCAAAAGACACAAAAATGGAATCAGTATAGGAAGAGGCCAAACCCCCAAACATACCAGCGATACAAAGATGCGAGAAACAACTATACGGCTGTAAGGAGAGAGGCAGAAAGAAATTTTGAAAAAGGGATAGCGGATAAATGTAAAACAGAACCGGGCCTATTCTACAAATTCATAAACAACAAATTGCAGGTAAAGGATAATATCCAGAGGTTGAAAATGGGAAACAGATTCACGGAAAATGAAAAGGAAATGTGTGAAACATTAAATGAAAAGTTCCAAAGTGTGTTTGTACAAAATGAAATCTTCAGAGAACCAGACACAATAAGAATTCCAGAGAACAACATAGAGCAGATAGAGGTGTCTAGAGATGAAGTGGAAAATATGCTAAAGGAGCTCAGTAAGAACAAAGCAGCTGGCCCAGATGGCGTTTCACCATGGGTTCTGAGAGAATGTGCATCTGAGCTCAGCATTCCACTTCACCTGATCTTTCAGGCATCCCTGTGTACAGGAATCGTAGCAGACGTGTGGAAACAGACTAACATAGTTCCAATCTACAAAAGTGGAAGCAGGGAAGACCCCCTCAATTATAGACCTGTATCATTGACAAGTGCAATAGTGAAAGTATTGGAAAAAATAATCAAAACTAAATGGGTAGAACACCTGGAGAGAAATGATATAATATCAGACAGACAGTATGGTTTTCGATCTGGAAGATCCTATGTATCGAATTTACTCAGTTTCTATGATCGAGCCACAGAGATATTACGGGAAAGAGATGGTTGGGTTGACTGCATCTATCTGGACCTAAAAAAGGCTTTCGACAGAGTTCCACATAAGAGGTTGTTCTGGAAACTGGAAAATATTGGAGGGGTGACAGGTAAGCTTCTAACATGGATGAAAAATTTTCTGACTGATAGAAAAATGAGGGCAGTAATCAGAGGCAATGTATCGGACTGGAGAAATGTCACAAGTGGAGTACCACAGCGTTCAGTTCTTGCACCAGTGATGTTTATTGTGTACATAAATGATCTACCAGTCATTTGATGATTGTCATGCCCTTCAAGAAGACCTGGACAAAATAAGTAGATGGAGCACCACTTGGCAAATGGAATTTAATGTTAATAAATGTCATGTTATGGAATGTGGAATAGGAGAACATAGACCCCACACAACCTATATATTATGTGAGAAATCTTTAAAGAATTCTGATAAAGAAAGAGATCTAGGGGTGGTTCTAGATAGAAAACTATCACCTGGGGACCACATAAAGAATATTGTGCAAGGAGCCTATGCTATGCTTTCTAACTTCAGAATTGCTTTTAAATACGTGGATGGCGATATACTAAAGAAATTGTTCATGACTTTTGTTAGGCCAAAGCTAGAATATGCAGCTGTTGTGTGGTGCCCATATCTTTAGAAGCACATCAACAAACTGGAAAAGGTGCAAAGACATGCTACTAAGTGGCTCCCAGAACTGAAGGGCAAGAGCTACGAGGAGAGGTTAGAAGCATTAAATATGCCAAAACTAGAAGACAGAAGAAAAAGAGGTGATATGATCACTACGTACAAAATAGTAACAGGAATTGATAAAATCGACAGGGAAGATTTCCTGAGACCTGGAACTTCAAGAACAAGAGGTCATAGATTTAAACTAGCTAAACACAGATGCCGAAGAAATATAAGAAAATTCACCTTCGCAAATAGAGTGGTAGACAGTTGGAACAAGTTAAGTGAGAAGGTGGTGGAGGCCAAGACCGTCAGTAGTTTCAAAGCGTTATATGACAAAGAGTGCTGGGAAGACGGGACACCGAGCGTAGCTCTCATCCTGTAACTACACTTAGGTAATTACAAGGAGCAATGGCTTAAAGACACCCCTGTGTAATTGGAAGCAGTCTTTGTCTGCTCGCCAAAAAATTGCAAACCGAAAGCTGAAAAAGCAAACAGAACTCCCCAATCAAAAACTGGGAAACAAACATGACGTCACCACAACCACCGCTCATCCATCTGCGCAACCCCCTCCCCTGGGGGGGGGGGGTTCCAGACCTCCACGCTGGCAACTTTTCCCAGTTCAGCGGCTGAGTATCAAAAACGTGAAAACCCACCGACCGGAGGGAGGGAGGGATGCCGGGGAGCCTCCGGGTTTCACCCAGAAAATGGTGTTTCATTACATTCAATGCTGGTTTTCTGTGGAGAGCCCCTTCGGCTCCCCGGAGCTACCTAACCAAAGATAAGGAAAAAGGGACTCACCCGGGAGGCGGTCATCACTCACTCCTCAACTCAGAGTCGAGACAACTGGTCGCAACCTGCTACCCAAGACTATACACGCCCGAGAAGAACATTAACAAGGTAACGTGCAGCCAGGACCCTGATCAACCTCCAAAAGCTCCGTGCCCGAAGATAGGCCAGGACATATTACCAAAACAGCAGCCAAACGCCGAACCTATGAAAGGCGTGGGCACGGGCTGGCCGGCCAAATAATCCTGCGGACAACCTGGGAGAAGGAAAACAGGGTCAACCCAAAACGCGTCCTCTGCCACAGAGGCTATGGCACGCAAATAACGGCAAAGAGCCACAGACACAAAACATGATGCACCCCTGGCCAAACCAACCAAGCATCAGCAACCCAAGGACCCCTTCGGAAAGCAGCAAACTCATTCTTCACAAGAAAAGGAGGAGAAGGCTGCAAACGAACGAAACGACCATCAGGCCCGAAAGAGCAGAAACCCCTGCGCCGGCGGAGAGCATGAAGCTCCCCGACCCGATCCCCAGAGGCCAATGCCAACAAGAAAAGAGCCTTAGAAAAACAGTCCTGAACCGAGGGGAAGAGAGAAAAGAAAGCACCCGGTCCACCGACTCAGGCGGTGCATGAGCAGGCCTGAGGTGAAACAATGCCCGAGAAAGCTTGTGGAATGGAGCAGAAGTGACATCCACCATGGATGCAATCTGCAGCGGCTCCGCCAGCGCTGCACAATACGAGGCGACAGTATTTGGCATAAGATGACGGTCCTGAAAGAGCCAAGAGAGAAAGGACAAAACAACCCGATCAGAAATCGAAGACAACCTACGAAGAGACAAAAATGCTGAAAGGACCAGCAGGGAATTTCATACTGCCGTCTAGACGAAACTCGCCTGTGGGACACCATTAACGAAGCCACCTGATCACCATACAAGTGGTGATACACCCCTATCAAAAAGACCAGGTGCGAAGAGTGGAGGAGAAGATCGAACCAGCCACATACTGGATTGGACTGATCTGCTGAAAGAGGCGGAGCCGCAGCAAGACACTCTGGTTCGGACAGCAAGCAATAAGCGCCTAAAACCAAGGTTTGCCCAGCCACCAAGGAGCCAACAGGACTACATTTCCCTGATAAGTCTCCAACCAAGCCAGGATCCGGAGCAACACCCGGACCGGAGGGAAAAGGTACTGTACAGGTAACGCCACCTTGACTAGTCCAGCCGAAAGGCATCGACCCCAATGGCCTCGCAGTCTGGGAAGGGCGCCACATAAACTTGAAGACGCCTCAACCATGCTGATGTGAAGAGGTCCACCTCTGAGCTCCCGTACGCCCGGCAGAGCCAACTGAACAAGTCGGTGTCGACCGTATATTCTGTGGAAAAGGGAATGAACCAAAACAGGCAATCTGCCAGGACGTTTGACACCCCCTGAACATGAACTGCCAGGAGCCAAACCCTAAGAACTCAGCAGACGAGTCACCTGAAGCGACCAGCCCCAAAGAACCAAGGACCGTATCGAGCCCCCGCAGTTCCGGCAATGAACCACCAGGGAGCAGTCCGAATGGAGCCGGATTGTTGCTCCTCGAGCGACCTGAATCCTCTGAAGTGAATGCCACACCGCTGCAAATTCCCATGTCGTGCTGCGAGCTCGACGGAAGTATGGACCCCACTGACCCTGACTGACCTGGTGAGCACTTATCACAAAACCTAGCCGAGAGTTGAGGCATCCGTGAACACCGAGCGAGGGCTCGGGCAGGCGCCACGGTACAAAAACCCGAAAAACCCGCAGAGGAAGCCGGCAATGCAGCAGCTGACGCAAGGCTCCAGGGATCCGAACCCATCGATGGCGAGAGCGACAGTAGGGGCGACCCCAAAGAAACCAGAACATCCGTTCAAGTCAGATCTGAGCCGATGGGTAGACCAGCACAGCAAAGTTCAGGCTCCCGCACAGCCGCTCGAACAATTGACATGTGACCCGGGTGCCCTCCAAAAACAGCCGGAGGCGGGACCGCAGCCGCAACAGCGTTGCAGGAGGGAGAGACAAGGAAACGGTCTGAGAGTCCCACACGAGACCCAGCCAAGTCCGAACCTGAGAGGGAACCAAATGGGACTTCCTCCAGTTCACCAAGAACCAGAACCCAGCGAGCTGGGAAAGAACCATATCCCTAGTGAGCAGACAACACAGACTGGCTGGGAGTCTACACCAGCCAGTCATCAAGGTAAGCCAGAACCCGAACCCCTAACAGATGCAACCAGGTCACCACGACCCAGGTAAGGCGTGTGAACACTCGAGGTGCCAGATTCAAGCTAAATGGAAGGCAACGAAAGCGGTAAGCTTGTTGCCCCACGACAAAACCGAGCCAGTCCCTGAACCCCAGATGAATTGGGACGTGCCAATATGCGTCCCGGAGATCCATAGACACCATCCAGGCACCTGGAACCAAAAACAGCTGGACCTGAGACAGAGTGGTCATTTGAAAGGAGGAGCAAAAGACCCAGGGATTCAGACTAGACAAGTCCAGTATGAATTGCAGATCCACACAGTCCCGTTTCGGAACTGAAAACAGGCAGGAAACCCACCTGAGGGACGTTGTCATTTCGACCACACCCAAGCGAACCCACTCCCGGATGACCTGACAGAGCACAGGAGAAGAAGCCGCCCTGCCAGCCCCAATCCCCCCCGAAGGAGGAGGAGCGACCCAATGCCACCACAGGCCGGAGGAAACGACCCGAATTGCCCACGAATCATGGGATCAGGCGAGAGCAAATAGCGTGAGCCTCTCTCTATCGCCCCGTCAACGGGGCAACCAGCGAAAGGCCGACGACCCCTACAAGAGCCCAACCAACACTGAGAGTGATTACTGTGCCGACCAGACACTGACGGCTCCAGAGGAGGTGCCAGCCCCGAATCTGGCACTACTGGCTTACGATGACCGAAGGAACTCCGACACTTGGCACGACCCTTCCGGGCAGGACCTCCATGGCCCGCACAGAGAACCTACAAGTCTGACAAAGGCTGTCAACTAGACGAAGCCGCCTGCAGAAAATGCACCACCGCAGACTCTGCAAACAGCAATGGACCAAAAAGGGGATGAAAATCTAAGAACCAGGGCCCAAGGCGATTCCAAAATTGGGACGAGTACCGCCTGTCAGCACGCAAGGCGAGAAGCGAAGAGCACCACCTCCCTCAGAAACAGGGCATACAACTTCACCAAAGCAGCCGGCACTCGAGCTGCTGTAGAAAGCCCAACCAACCCTGGCCCGGAACCCAGCTCCTCCACACCCAGTACAAGCCAGTTCGAAGACAGCTCCAGCAGGGAAAAGAAGTGCAAGACCGAAGCAAGTGCCCACGGACGCACAAATCCTTAGCCACCAGGGATGCCGAAAGGAAGGGTACCTGCATGTGAAGCCGCACCTGGCCGACATAAGGAAGGACGGGAGCGAATAAGCACTCCTTGAGGTGCTCCAACTCACCCCCTTCCCTTCCCCCTAGGAAAACCTGAACGACCGTAGGCAACTCTCGCCATTCAAGTGCGCAGTCTGACATGACAAATGCCAAGCCCCACACAAAGAAAAAGCAGTGTGCCAGCCAGAAAGACTTTGGCACCTTGTAATGCACCCAATAAGGAAAAGAGGAGCCAATCTCAAAAAGAAAAAAGCTTCAGTATCGAGGCATAATCCGGGTCTCGCAGGAGGTAAGCCACAAGGGGCCTCCCACACCTTCCTCGGTGGGACATAGGAAGCCAAAAACCTCCAGAAGGAGGGAACCGAAGAACCCAAGGGAACTCGGAACTGAACCTGGAGAGGAGTCGAACTCGTAACAAAATCGTACAGGGAGGAGGATAGGAAAAACCCCTCCCCCCTGTAACAACAAGCCCCGCGCCGAGGGTACCAAACACCCAAGCAGGGACCAATGGGGCCCAGGTCCCCCCAAGTCAACTCCTTCCCAGCCCCGGAATCCTCCACGTCAGGACCCAGGGCCGAGCTGTCCTCCAAACCCTCTGCCTTTGGAGAAAAAGCAAAGTCCACCGGAAAAACAGGGATGAAGGAAGCCTGCTGGCGCGGCCCAAAAGTTCCGACAGGAGAACGAGGCTCGAATGCATCAGCCGCCAATCTAGAAGGGGCCATCCCCGACGCTGCCCGAGTCTCACTACCAGTATAATTCAGTGGGACATCTGCGTGGCATCCGGAAAGATAACCAACCTCACACGTTGCTGCAACTTAAACCACACATGCAATGCTAAAGCTGCCTGCACCCAAATATCAGTCTCAGTGAACTGGGTGAGTTGGAGTACAAGCAAAGAATACCACTCGCAGGACTCCGGGTCATAGGTGTCACTGACCCCAACAGGCAGCAAGGCGGAGGCAGACGGTGAGTGTCACCCTGAGACAGGGGGACAGAGTAACCTCCAAACTGCACAAGGCGAGGTGGAACTAAGAGGTCTCCTACATTGGACCACTGAGCCCCAATGGGAGTTTCCAGGGTCCTTAGGCTGACTGCTAAGGGAAGCCCAGGCGAAGTACTGCTAACCAGTTATCCCAGAGCTACCAAACAATCTAAAAGCTGAACCCCTGTGACGTGTGCAAGCACGGGTACCTAGTGAAGGGCCACCATAAACCTCCTAGTGGTCATACCGCCACACCTGGCAGACTCCCGCTAGGCAAAATAAAACAAAAACAAAAGAAAAACCCTGCAAAAGCACAACGTCTCAGGTGAACAGAACCGGTTGCTATGCATATATCAGACAGCTGCACAGTACCTCGCGCCCCAGCCAGTGACAAAACTACCTCCTGCCCAAGGAAAAACAGGAGTAAGAACCACCCCAGCTGAACCCTCAAGAGCGGGCAATCACTGAGCAGCAACAGAACCACACGGAGGTAGCTGCTCCAGAACGGCTCATGGAAGATAATCCTGAAGCCACAAAGGCAGTACTTACAGGGCACCTTGGGAAGGAAGCCCTAGGTGCATACAGCCCCAGTACTCTTGTGTTACTCCTGGCTCACACACCACCAGTACAGAGCAACAACACCGCACTGCAGCACTGCGCAAAGAGCGGAGCCAGAGCGATCGACCGTTCACCATCACAACAGCCTTTGAACTGGGGAGAGTTGCCAGTGTGGAGGTCTGATGGAACAACCCCCCATCCCCCAAAAGGGGAGGGGGATATTGCACAGATATATGCACAGTGGTTGTGGTGACGTCATGTTTGTTTCCCGGTTTTTTATTAGGGGATGTGTGCTTTTTCGGATTTCGGTTTGCAATTTTTTGGCCAGCAGTAGTTTGTTTTGAAATTCCTACCTTTCTGGGGCCTGACCTGGTAAATGGCAGACAAAGACTGCTTCCAATTACATAGTCTTTAGGCCATTGCTCCTCGTGCCTCTCTTGAGGGGGGCCAGGTTATGGCTCTGGTCCCCAGTAGGCTTAGAACTCCTTCGATTGACTGTTGCCACGGTCTAATATATACACATCAGTCTGGTATAGCTCCGGGGAGCCGAAGGGGCTCTCCACAGAAAGTAGACTTTTCTGCCATTAGGAGAAGATTTTATTACTGCTGCTGTTGCTTACTGAAGTAGTAATTAATCAATGTTGCATTAGTGCAGGTCATATTAATATAGTAAAGTTCTTTTTACATCTTGTCATTAAATAAATATTTTATATAAATAATTGTTTTTATACAGATGAGCCTCATGGTGCATATTCTCAACTGTCAGAGGAGCAGCAGAAGGAAGTTCGTGTTTTGGCTGGCATTGGCTACTCAGTCAGAGGAGATTCAAGACCCTTAGCAGGTTAGTAAGTTGAAGAAGTAACACACAAACTTTGTTTTCCAGTAGTCATATTCTAATTTTGTTTCTCCCGGTCGCCGGTCGGGAGCCGGTCAGCCGAGCGGACAGCACGCTGGACTTGTGATCCTGTGGTCCTGGGTTCGATCCCAGGCGCCGGCGAGAAACAATGGGCAGAGTTTCTTTCACCCTATGCCCCTGTTACCTAGCAGTAAAATATGTACCTGGGTGTTAGTCAGCTGTCACGGGCTGCTTCCTGGGGGTGGAGGCCTGGTTGAGGACCGGGCCGCGGGGACACTAAAGCCCCGAAATCATCTCAAGATAACTCAAGATAACCCCCATATGTGAAATAATGCGAGTGATTCCCTCTTTGGTGCATATCCTAAGTTTACACATAGTCATGAGTAAAGTCAGCTTTACTCTATTGTGCAAGAATGCTGAAGAGTAATTGTGATAAACCACTTGACTAAGAGTGGTTTATCACAATTTTCTTGCACTCACAATAACTGAATATTAAGATGAGATCTACACCTCCATTCACTTGCATCCATATCCAAAAAATTACTTTTGTTGTTAATAATCCTAAGCCACTTTCTAAGCAGTAACTGATGCAAAACTTACTTTCAATATTTTGTGCTACATATAAATTGCAGGTTCACATTTTTCCTTGTGCAAATTAATACAGTACAATATTACATCATGACCTCATTGAACAGTCTCTCTTGGGAAACCCTCTGAAATTTATTAGCATCCATTTCATGACCTAATAATTGCACCAATCTGCTTTTATTACCTCTGAACTGGCCAAACTGCTTAATCCTCATATGATTTAATGTTTAGTGACATTTTGCTCCACAATGGTTCACACCCCAACACACACTTGCTTCTCTTCCCTCAACTCCTCCTCTGCCCCAACATTGGAAATATTATCCAGTATAAGAATAATTGCTAAACATGTTTCTAGCAAACACATCTGTTTTATTACACAATTACCAGTATCTTGATTTTTTAGAGCACATTAGGAGTTGCTGATAGCATTAAAAACTAAAATATGTAGCAATACTAATAAAGTACAATCCTGTTTAATACTCTGAATCTTCATTCAATACACTTCTGAAATAGGATTTTACTTACTTTAAATGTCACGCAAGTCTAATGCTGATTTTATTAATATCGGAGTCATCTCTATTTCAGCTGGACGTTTGTGTTTGTGGAAACACACTGATGATGGAGACCGCCGCAAAGATGTAGAGTTCAGCACATTTGAACGTTTCCGCAATTCATTAATGCTACAGTGTGGTGATGGTAATGTAAATTTGTTTTGATCACATGTACCTCCTTGTTTCGTCATTTACTTCTGTTTATTTGTTAATTTAGACTACTTTTAGATACAGTAGAAAGATACTCTTTCCCTTTCCTCCTGCAAGAAAAGAGTAGTTACAGTTTGCCCATACAATATATTTGTCACTTTTAAAGTCACAAGTTTAGACAAATCAGTTTGGTTCATATACCATTTTAAAGTCCTTGATCGAGGTTATAAATGACCCAAAACTAGACTGATGTATGACATACTCTCCGCATGATGCTTTGAAAACATTTGTATAAAGTGACTTAATTTGCCCACTATAAAGGGTTGAATATAATGAAATACCCTTTTCTGGTGAGACCCTTCCAGAACTAAGCACTGCTCTAGCCATGCCTTAGAGATGCATCTGAATTTACCTGAGGGGCCACTAATACTAGTGGTCTCAATGAGGACAGGAAGCCAGGAGCTTGTCAAAGGTCCTCCCCATTTGCCCTGATGATCTTTTCCAGCTGTATTTTAAAACCCAGTAGAGTTTTGGCGTTCACGGCTTTAGCGGGTAGGCAGTTCCATGGGTTTAGAATCCTATGGGTGAAAATGCATCTCCTGTTTTCAGTCCTACATTGTAGCTTGTTCAGCTTGAACCCGTTGTTCCTCTTTCATGTTACATCTGACCTTTTGAAGAAATTGTCCAGATCGACATCCTCCAACTTGTTTAGTATTTTAATTAAAGGTTCGATGAGATACGCCCTGTCATACCTGGTTTGTAGTGTTGTTAGCCCAGTGGCCCTCAACCGTTTCTGATTCGTGAGATAACTAAGTTCTGGTATGATTTTTGTTGCCTGGTGTTGCACCTTCTCAGAGCAGCTATGTCTTTCTGAAGATGAGGTCTCCATGCAATAATCCAGGTGGGGGCGCACCAGAGACTTATACAATTGAATGATGGCTTTCTTTTCCTTGAAGGTAAAGGTGTGATTGATATTCCCAAGGTTTTGTTCGCTTTTTTTACTGCCACTCCAACTTGTGCAACTTTTAGTGAATGATGGATTCTGACTCCAAGGTCCTTTTCCTCATCCATCTGTTGTAAGGTAATGTTGTTAATTTGGTAGTTGTGACGTGGATTGTTATGCCCCTCATGCAATGTCTTGCATTATAATGACATTAAAAAGCATTTGTCAGTCATCTGACCATTTGTGGAGTTCATGTAGATCTCTTTGAAAGATCTCAGTATCACTTTCATGTCCCACTTTACCATAGATCTAAGTGTCATCTGCAAATTTGATTATGTGGTTTGTAATATTCTCATCTATGTCATTGATGTGAATGACAAAAAGGGATTGGCCCCAAAATGGACCCCTGTGGCACCCCACTTAGCACATTTCCCCAGTCAGATGCATTCCCATTTAACATGACCCTTTGTCTATGTTTTAACCATTGTTTCATCCATTCCAGTATTTTTCCATTTATTCCAATGTGACTGTAATTTCCTTGCCAGTCTCTCATTTGGTACCTTGTCAAAAGCTGTAGCAAAGTCCATGTAAGCTACATCTACCGGAATTCCTTTGTCTGAATAGTCGGTTACTATTTCCAGAAATGTGAGCAGGTTAGTAAGACAGGATTTTTAACAAACCCATGTTGCATTGATTTTACAAGATTGTTCTCTGAGATGTTGTATGATTCCGTCCCTTAGAATTCTCTCCGTGAGCTTGCAGATGTGTGATGTCAAGCTGATCAGACGGTAGTTTTGTGCTGGGCTCTTTCTGCTTCTTTTGAAAATAGGGGTAACATTTGTATCCTGTATTTCCAATTCCAGGGAAACTATCCTTTGGTCCGGGGATTTTCTGAAAAGAAGTTTCAGTGGTATGCATAGTGTATTTGCCAGTTCCTTTACAACTTTAGGTTTAAACCCATCCACATCTGGGGCTTTTGAGTCTTTTAGTTTGTCAATGCTCTTCCTAATTGTGTTGCTTATAACGGGTATCTCCCTTAATTCATTCTCTTCACCTCCTTCCAACATTTGTGTGGGTAATGGGATGTCATTCAATCTTTCTAGTGTGAAAACTGATGTAAAATATTCAGTGTTTGCTGTTCTTTTATCATCCACTATAACTTGGTTAGTCTCATCTTTTAGGGGTCCTACAGAGTCATTTGTTTTGGTTTTACTTCGTATATATGCATAGAATGATTTTTGGATCTTCCTTTGTTTAGGGCAAGTTTTCTTTCATAGTTTCTTTTCATTAGTCTGATTTTCTGGGTAGCTGAAATTAATGCCCTTTTCTGGGTGCCCGGAGCCAGGGCACCCAGAAAAAGGCACGTAATTCTTCCTTTGTTGTTGTAGTCGGCTCTCGCAGTGCCCTCATGGCTCTGGAGTCCTTTAATCCTGTCCAGCCTGTGGTCGTCGAAATTCAATATTGACTGTTTCTTACCTCCAGCAGATTTAAGACAGTTGAGTTTTGCTAGGTTCCCAGACATATTGGTGTTTCCTTAAATGAGCGTGCGGACGCTGCTGCTAAGAAAGCTCTCCGCACCTATCCCATCTCTTGTAAAGGTATTCCTTATTCCTACTTCTACCCAGTTATTCATTCCTCAATCCTTGCCCGTTGACAGGGCCGTTGGTCTTCTGTTATTGGTAACAAGCTGCATGCCCTTAAGGGTAGTGTGTCCCCATGGTCTTCTTCCTACCACAGTAACCGGCGGTGGAATACGGCTCTGAAGAGGTTGTGTATTGGCCATACCCGCTTAACTCACTGGCACTTAATGGAGTGCCGCCTTTCTCCTTATTATCCGAATTGCATTGTCCCTCTTACGGTCATGTATATCCTTGTTCAGTGTCCTGACTTCCAGGATGTGCATGCGTCTTGTTTCCCGACTGTCCCTCTCGGTAACATGTCCCTCGATAGTATGCTTGGTGAATCGGATGCCTTTGATGTTGTTTGCCTTATGCGCTTTTGTTCTCGTATTGGCATCCTTAGTGATATTTAGAGCCTTTTGAATATCCCACACCTTTGACGGTGCTACATAGCCGCCTAGGCTTGGTGCCTTTTTTTGATAATTACCAACTTACTTTTAAGGATATCAGGAACAGTAATATTCTTGAGAGATTTGTTGAATAACAGAGCTATGGGTAGTGCAAGAGCAAGGGCAGCACTCTTGTATATCATAGAAGGTATTTCATTACTTTTCCCAACTTTGGATTTAAGTGATTGAATTATGGATATAATGTGTTGGGCTGACTGGTAAAAGGAGTAGTGTTAGGATAGCTGCCTGTGAGATATGTTCTGTCAATATTTATTATTTGTTGCGAGGATATTGAACAGCCATGGACTACTAATGTTCATGTAGTATTCTTTGATTGTGTCTGTGTAGCCTATCCTTCTGTTTAGATAGTACTTTTTGCAACTATGTCGATCATCGTACATACATAGATGTAATTGACAAGTAGATAGTAGAATTTGGTATTAATCACGTCCAAAAAAAAAGGGTAAAAAAAAAATAAATAATTATCAAAAAGGCAACAAGCCAAAATAATAGTTAAAATCCAAACAAATATTCCCAGGCCCAGTATAGCATATATGTACTACTGTATATTAGGCCCCATAGCATGTATTAGGCCTAGGAAGGTTAGGTTAAATTTTCTTTGCAACATCAGTACAAAAACTTTTCCAGTTTATCCAAATTCAATAGTACCAATTTGTAATTGCCTTTTACATCAATGTATGTGTATGATGGTCCGCATAGTTACTATAAGTACTACCTAAACATAAGGATGGGCTGGCCTATGGCACCTTTGGCACCTTTTACTCTGTGCTGGTTCTGTTTGTATCTTCTACCATATCGTTCATTTCATTATGTTATTTACTATACAAATTCGAGACCTGGCCTTCCAGTATCTTCCGTGTATGTATTGTGTGATATCTCATATATTTGTGGCACTCGCCTGACAAATATCAGGTTAGTGAAATCAGGAGTCGAAATAATGTGTTTTTAGGAAGTTTAATCATTAGGGGCATATTAATTACTGTATTAAGTGTGCAGTTTCTTCCACACTCTTTTTATAATTTTTCATCTTCAATCCTCACTACTACATAATAATAAGAATGTATACCATATTATGAATGTAGATGAGGAGAACAGCTTCTTAATGTGTTATTTGGTAATCTTCAGGAGAAGCTGCTGTTTTAGAATTCACTCCAAACAAATCGTGGCCTGATGTTGTGTACTATAACAGCTGGACGGCTCCAAACATGGGCTGGCGTCTCCATATTCTTGAGGAAATACACACAGAAGACATTTTGGCAGCAGCAGCGAGTGGCAGTCAGGGATTAAGCATAATTTTCTGGCATCATATTATCCTCCTTTTAAGTTTAGGTGTGTGGACAGTGTTGATGGCTCTAATATAACCAAGTTACAAAACTGTTTTTTATCATAGTGCTACTGTAAAGCACTATGAATATAAATTGAATTATGCATGATACAGAATATCATATATACTACTTAATTTATTAAGATTATAAATTTTAGCTAATTTTAAAATGTAAATATACTTGTATGCAATTCATACGTGAAAGAATGGAGATTTTAAAACAAGGTAGTTTTTCCCAAGTCAGTCCTGAACAGTTATGGTTTTTAATTACAATATAGTACATTACTGTATTTTTTGTTTAAATTACCTATGTTTGTCAAATGTAAAAACATTATGTATAAACATATAGGTTTCTGCCTGTGTGTGTCTGTGTACAGTACAGTATATATATATAATTATATGGAATCATATATCGCATTGTATAAATAGAGATATTTTTGTCAACACCTGTTTCTAGTCTATATTTTGATGATACAGTACCACCTTGCAATGTCCTCTCATGTATGGGTAATGAATGAAGTTTTTTATTACATTTTTTAACTAGAATCATGCTTATGATTTTACTTATGGATTACAATTGTGATTGATTAATAATAATCCTGAATATAGATGAGAACAGATATTCAAAACTACTGTATACTACTATATATGCAGTATTTATCATTTATAATTATTTATTATATATAATTATGATCATTAGACAATGTTTATAGGTGATGTTCTTTTAGATAATGATCAAGGTTATATGTATATACGGTTATTATAATACTGTATAGATAATTTACGTAGGAAAACATTATAGAAATTATAGTCTTAAAAACTAAAACAATAGTTATGGTTAGAGGTAACCATTATCATTATTTGTGATCAGTATCGTTCATTAAATAATAATTACAGTATTAACTTTTCATAATGAGGTATTAATGGTGATTATAGTTATAAGTTACTGCATATATACAGTGCATGTATATTGATTATAAATTATCAATATAGTTAAGCATATACAGTTATGATCATAGATAATGGTCATATTGAAGATCTGTTAGATAATTATATACAGTACAATATAATGAAGAGGTAGACTAAATTGTAGTTCACTGTAGTGTATTTGTATCAAGTAAATGGGCAATAATTATGATTATTAAGCAATGACTGTATAGATAGTTCCAGTTGAATGTCTCCAGTCCAAGATGCTTGGGAACCAGGGTATTTTGGTCTTTATTATACCCTCTTCCTCTGCAGTGGAATATCTCACCTTGACTAATAAATGATTCATTTACACCTGTCAAATTACAAGTGGGAAAAACAGGCAGATTGGAGGGACAGAACACCAAAAAAGTACCATACAGTAAGAAGTCATTTGAATAATGAAGGCAATTTGAAATAAAAGTAACCATGACGTATTGAAATCCTTGGATATACTCGGTGGAATAACTATGCGTACAATGTGTGTCTTTGTAGCACACAATGTTGTCAGGCCCTCTCCATAGGCCAATAATTTGAGATCCATTTACATTATTACATTTTTTACATCAAATGTGTAATATTGTAAGGCTGCTGCCTTTCTTTCCTTTCACCTCTGGATTTACAACACTTATCATTGTCTTCATTTTGTAGGTGTCAATGCAGGAAATACATTCACTATTAAATTTATCAGTAGCACTTTAAATTAACCAATTTATCTTTAAAAAAGAACCAATTCATTCTCTGCCCAATCATCTTCCAGTAGTTAGCAATATTCTTAATTACTTGTCCCAATAACTTGGCATCATTGCCAAAACGTCAGTTTTGATACCATTAATCATTAGGGCACTCGACTTGAAACTTCTTCCAATTAAAAGAACTTCACTTTTTGCTGCTTTGAATATGAGAACCAACCACAAAATGCCATTGTTTTGTTTATTTTTTTTCATATTAGTCTTATTTGGTACAGTATATACACATGTACATATGTAGTTTTATATAATTGGCATAAAATTCATTTTGCACATTCCTACTTCAGTTACAACTTGACACTGAATATGTTCAATATGAAAAAACTTTACAAACATTTTCATGGACAACTTTATTTCAGGATTATACAATACTTAATACATGAAAAGATACAATAATAATGGTGGATCGGTTCTTGACTAGGTCTAGTCTGCTCAATTTGTAAAATGCAAAACAGTCCTCCTAGATTTGCAAAACATTTGTACATAATGAAAATGTGAAAATTTTAGTGATTATACTTTACACACAGAAATGGTGCTGCATAATATATATAGACTTTGGATATTTTTTGTTTTTTTTCTTTACTGGTCATGTCTTCAGTAATTGTCAAAAATGTTATATACAATTAAATATAGATTTGTCAAAATTTTGTATTTTCTTAATGTCTTACAGTCTAACACAGAGGACTTTGTGAATCTGCACGCCACCACTTACAACTCACAAGGTGGGAAGTAGGGCTTGACTTTTAAACAGAAATACAAAAAAATATTAATTATTATACTTAAAATATCTTCCACTCAACCAAGCACACACATTATGATCTTACATTATATAAATATCAATAGCTTGATTTAAAAAAGCATATGAAAAATAAGAACATTACTGATGCCCTCTAGAATGAGAGATTGTAATTATTAACCAAAAGATTTATAAAATCCTTAGAATGTTACTGAAGCTCTTCAAATTAATTATTATAATTAACATCAATATGACACATTTTGGGTTGTCATCCTGCCCCTTTATATTCTCTAGGTGACTAAAACTATAAGATTCAGCAAGCTAAATACACCTTAGGATATAGATACTGCTTCAGAGAAGTAGCCAGCATTATTTTGTAAAGTTTTTGACGGTATTTAAAATGGGAACACAATTTTTATATGTGGACTTAACAGTAGGCTGGTTAATTCTCTGGAGCCAGAAGCACAATAATGGTAGTGTTTTATCCCCGAGGAGGATGACTTTTATCACAGTTAACATTGACCCCTCAGTGTTGCATGGTGCCATCTGTGATGGAGAGGTACTCTATTACCAAACTGCTTCAGAATTTTTTTTAATTTTTACATTTAATTACTTCTATACAGTTTTTGGTGAATCTCACAACTATTAGGTGTAAATATGACAAAAATACATGTACTCTGCTGTACTTTTGAAGTACTGTACCAGTACAAAAAAAAATTTACTAAGTATTGTCGTGATATAGCATAAGTTGTAAATTTTCCCTAAACAAAGAATAAGTCTCACTAGCAGTAACATGAGAAGCACCACAGATTCTTAAGAACTATCAGTGTGTTTGCCATTTTATACAAATTTATCACAATCAGGAATATTTTGTACAAGCTCTAAATACAAAATCCTTTTTCTAGTTATACAATGAAAAATGTTTTAAGTCACTGAACAAAATTCTGCTTTTAAAGCAAAAGATCTATTGTCAGCAAATGAGGAAACTTTTAAATTTTTGTTGTTAGACAATATTACTCAAATAAAGTTTTGGCAATCATACCAATACAATTTCCTATTTAATTGTCTTATTCTATTAGTGCTGATGCTATAACACATCTTTAAGAGTTATACTTCCAACAACCAAGAAAACTTGTCTGTGGGATATATGGTTTGTGCAGTGCATATGTTAACCGAAAATTATTAACCATCAAGAGAAAACTATGAAAGATCTGGTCTAAGTGATTATTTCAGAGAAACACAGAAACTAAATACCTCCTATAAAAGAACAAGGTGGTTCATACAATGGATATCATCTCCAAGAAACACTACTGAAGAGAAAAAGTTTATATTAGAACAATCATATGGAAATATATGGACAAATCACATGGATATGTTATAAACTATTACTAATTTACCTCTTCAAGCACAATTTACCTCTTCAAATAAAGTATTATTAAACAAGTGAGCAACTATAATTTGTTATACAATAATATGAAAAAATGAACACAATTACACTTATTTAATACATTTGTGCTTCCAGCAACCAAATATCAATTGAAAGCCTTCATATGCTTCTAGATTGTAGGAACTTACAGCACTGTATATCGATAATTTAATTCTATCATCACATGTTTTGTGGACAGTATACTAACACTGCCAATTATATAGTGGCCTCGTAGCCTGGTGGATAGCGCGCAGGACTCGTAATTCTGTGGCGCGGGTTCGATTCCCGCACGAGGCAGAAACAAATGGGCAAAGTTTCTTTCACCCTGAATGCCCCTGTTACCTAGCAGTAAATAGGTACCTGGGAGTTAGTCAGCTGTCACGGGCTGCTTCCTGGGGGTGGAGGCCTGGTCGAGGACCGGGCCGCGGGGACACTAAAGCCCCGAAATCATCTCAAGATAACCTCAAGATATCCTTAACCACAAATATTGAGTCATCAAATTTTGTCAGATTTTAAATTATGAAATAAATTTTCAAGTGTTATTACTCATCAACTCTAAGTTTACTAAAGTTTAAGGTAAACTGCAAAGTCATAATGTGTGTTGGTCAAGGAGACAAGGGGGGGAGGGGGGAAGGTAAATACTTTACTTCTTTTAGACAAATAGATTGCTTTACTTGGTAAACTGCTGGTCTTCAAAAATACTATATATTAAGAAATAACTTTCTTAAATATAAAATAATTGTTAATATGCATTGCAGTATTTCCATTAAGTATAAGAGCCATAGAAAATAAACCCCAACAGCATCATTGCATACAAAAGGTACTGTATTTATTACACATATATACAATGCTGTATGTACAAATAGAACTGAAGCCTGGAAATATGATTCCTCTCATCCACATTGCTCATCCAACCAGCAATTCTTGCAACTAACTTCAGTCTGACCCTCACAAATGGGTATGTGATCAAATCCTCCAACATTTTTTTAAATAACACTTTCTGATGATTTACATAACATTTATGTACCATACTGTAGAAAAAATATCACTTATTGTATTGTCAATAAATGCCACTGCTTTGGAAAATAAAAAAATATAACTTTTCTGAGCACAAGTTGTAATTAAAACTTTTTCTGTTTACAACAATAAACATCTTGTAATAATATTACTTGGGCTTCCCAAATGCACGATATCCATGCAGATTAATAGTGAATCACATCCGAGGCACTACCCACCTCCACCACCACAAAAAAAAATCAAGAGGGGATTTAAGTGCATATGGATCACAAACATTATGGTACTCGAGTTTGGGTATCTAAAAAAATTATTAAGTGGATTTCAAAGATTTCTAGTGCATCTTGATGAAGGATTCAAGGTGAGTTGGAACTTCTCCTGCATAAGGGATCCTATGTTCTTGAATAATTCTAGCTGCCAAGCACTTAAGAGAGGTGTAGTTTAGAATGCTGATCTGACACTTAGGGTTACGCCTCAGGTTCTTGCTAGGTCTCTCACCCATTGCTGTCACTTGGTCTACATGTCCTCCAGCCTTCAGCAACACCTCCACAATCTGCAAAAGTATAGATAATTAGTTATTGTGGTTTTACTAACAAACTATCTGAATACACCAAAGGATCACCATTTCTAGTGGCCTCGACAGTGACAAAGTTCCCCCCTCGTTGTTCAAGATTTGTTCCATATGAATGACATTTAAACCCAATATTCCTTCCAGACATAAAATTGCACAATACACAATGTAAATGACCTGCTTGACCAATTGACCAATAGTAACAAGCACCTGGCTAGAGTCAAAATTTCACCATTCCATTATACACTACGTTAATTACTCGTCCCGTTACTCGTCCCACCCATGTTCATGGGTGGGATGGGGAGAGGAAAGGGATGATATCTTAAGCCCCTGCCCTCAAGCCAAGTACTGGTACCCTTCTCCCAGTCATAAAATACAAATATTGTCAACTGACAAACAATACTTTCAATATTACCCTTTGTGGTTGCAGAGAGCTAATAACCCTTAAACTGCGCAACACTTAATATGATGTGTGGAGTAACTGACGCAAAAGTACACACCCCTTCATATGACGTTTTGGAGTACCGCGCAAGATTTAAACGGCTCGCGGGTACACAGGGTTCACATCAGCTTCTTCAGGGCTCTTGTAAACAGACTCCATATTTTAAACAAATTGTGGGCAACATTCCCGGGTGTGAAAGCCTCTTTACTAAGTGAGCCACCAAGGATGGTGCACGCAGCATAAGCTCATAGCACTGCTGTTCAGCTTGTGACCACAGCATAAGTTAAAAATGTTAAAAATATATGTAACTGGTATTATTTAGCAATGATAGTACTTCAGAAGAGTCAGAAGACTAGAAGAAAAAGGGGGTCAGAAGACCCCCTGACTGTGATAAAAATTACCAGGATTCCGATAATAACAGGATTGTTGTGATAATTTGTGCGCTGTGCATAGTATTGTGGGAGGAGTAATGTTGAAGGAGGGAGGGCTGTAGCGCCGTGTGCCGAATCTGTGTGGTCACCTGGTACTGTCTGCACTCAACATACTAGCTTAGTGGTTCGCTATGGTGAACACAAATGTAGATACTTATATATAATGTGTATATATATATAGTGTAATAACAGCAAAAGGAGTGTTGGGAGAAGCCATTTTGGTGAAGGAGGTGGCATCATCTGTATGACTTGTCACGCTGTGTAAGGGTGTCCACTATGTTCTTTGGGCACTATTCCAGCTTAGTTGAACCGTTATGGTGAACAAAACAAGTAGATACTTGTATATAACGTCTGTATATAGTGAAAAAAAAACAGTATGGTGGGAGGAGGATATTGGCGAGTGAGGTGTTCATGTTTGTGGCTAGCTGGCTGGTGTGGCAGCCCCTCATCATTACTTTTTGACTCACCATATCAACTTAGTGGTTTGTTATGGTGAACAAAACATGCAGATACTTATATATAACCTGTGTATATAGTGTAATAACAGCAAAACTATTCGTTTCTTGTTTTATGAACATAACAATTGAATCACCAATATGCACACCATAATTTTGAGTATACAGTATAGCGATGATTCACACATTATATAAATATATCACACTACACCCTACTGAATAACATTACTGCAAGAAAACTAAGAAAAAAATCAGAGACATTGAAATAATTAGGTAAAACAGTATTATCTTTGTGGCAACTCCCCCCTGATAGCTGGGACGGAGCAGACTTCCTCTGACATTTGCTGTCACCGCCTGCTTTTTGCCAGACTTCCCCGCCCTATTGCGGCCAAAATATGTCACCTACAATTTTTTTTTATTATTTTTCCCGTGATCAGGGAACACAAACGAACACTTTTATAAGACGAAATAATTTTTTATTTTTTTCACCTGTGGGGTTACCTTACCTTACCACCGAAAATTTGGGTGTTGAAGGCCAAATAGCCCAGAGCAGCTTAGGGGTTAGAGAGAAAAAGAGGATACCAAGAGCCTTAAAGAAAAAGAAAACACCGATAACGTTACAAAGACACCCTGGAATTTATAGGTGTGTGGTGGGATATTTGGTGCAATCAGCAGACAACAGACTACAAATTTTATAATGCATCAAAGTTCATAGCATGAACTTGGGGACAATGCAAGTCCGTTTTCTTGTCACTGGAGAGGAATGACCACTGTATCTACCAGAGGAGTCACTCAAATAAATAGTATTAGCATAGCTGTGGGATCTCTGGATTTGAACATTCTCATAATCCATGTTATAATTTTCCTGGCCGCCGCTATATTTGCTCGGTTATGTTCACTAAATGTCAGGTCGTCAAACATCATGCAGTCTCCGTGGTGTAGTGGTAAGACACTTGCCTGGCGTTCCGCGAGCGCTTTGTCATGGGTTCGCATCCTGGCCGGGGAGGATTTACTGGGCGCAAATCCCTAACTGTAGCCTCTGTTTAACGCAACAGTAAAATGTGTACTTGGTTGTAACAACGATTCTTCGCGGCGGGAATCGTATTCCAGGGAACTGCCCGAAACGCTACGCGTACTAGTGGCTGTACAAGAATGTAACAACTCTTGTATATATCTCAAAAAAAAAAAATCCCCAGATCTCTTACATGTTGCTTTCCTACTATGAGTATCCAGTATCTAGGCTCCGTTCCCAACAAATGCCAAGGGCCTGGGATGGTGTTTTTTACATATTTTGATGAATATGGAATTCCAGGAATCACGGCCTGGTGTAGAATGCATAGGCATACTGTCCATGACTACTTCAAAGTCCAGTAGGGTTATTGTCACACACACAACTCCCGAACTGGGGGTTTTGCTAGGTGGTCAGCGCTCGGGGCGTCGTAGTACAAAGGGCCCGGGTTCGATTCCCTGCCGACAGAAACAAATGGGGAGAGTTTCTTTCACCCCTGATGTTCACCTAGCAGTAAACAGGTACCTGGGAGTTAGATGTATATGTATATGTGTATATGTGTATATGTGTGAGTATATAGTGTGTGTGTGTGTGTGTGTGTGTGTGTGTGTGTGTGTGTGTGTGTGTGTGTGTGTGTGTGTGTGTGTGTGTGTGTGTGTGTGTGTGTGTGTTTGTTTGTTTTAGAGAAATGTATGTAGCAGGCAGACAGACAGACTGGCTCACTCACGTGAGTGACTCACTCACTGACTCATTCACTCTTCCAGGACAATCACCCAACCAGCACGCACACATCCACCACAAACATCTGCCCCTGGACATAACTCACCTCTTATGGAGAAATGTGTCAACCATAAAGTCCTGTTTTGTCCAATTCAAAATTCCGAAACGAGCGTCGAGTGAGAAAACCTTCACACAAAGTGATCATACCACAAAGACAACTGAGGGAGTAAATACATCAGTCTGTCCTCCTAAGGCTCTCCAACGTCAAGAAACTGTCGTAGTAAAGTGCCCTTATCCTAACCTACCAGAGGACAAAAACAGTAAACAGGACAGTATGTCAATTTCGCGAGCCGCTTCCATTTTGTAGTACGACAATTTGTAGCCTTGGGTAGAGTATAGATCAAAATGCGACGCTGTGTTAGGACGGGTTGAATACATAGCATCGTTACTAGTGACAGGATGAACAACCCAGCGGGTTTTCTTCCTATTGGGGAGTGTTGTACACGCTGCTATGGCGGTGTGTCCACTCACAGGATGAGTGGCGCTGCCCAATACTGTCACTATGGCAGTGTGTCCACTCACAGGATGAGTGGCGCTGCCCAATACTGTCACTATGGCGGTGTGTCCACTCACAGGATGAGTGGCGCTGCCCAATACTGTCACTATGGCGGTGTGTCCACTCACAAGATGAGTGGCGCTGCCCAATACTGTCACTATGGCGGTGTGTCCACTCACAAGATGAGTGGGGCTGCCCAATACTGTCACTATGGCGGTGTGTCCACTCACAAGATGAGTGACGCTGCCCAATACTGTCACTATGGCGGTGTGTCCACTCACAGGATGAGTGACGCTGCTCAATACTGTCACTATGGCGGTGTGTCCACTCACAAGATGAGTGGCGCTGCCCAATACTGTCACTATGGCGGTGTGTCCACTCACAGGATGAGTGGCGCTGCCCAATACTGTCACTATGGCGGTGTGTCCACTCACAAGATGAGTGGAGCTGCCCAATACTGTCACTATGGCGGTGTGTCCACTCACAGGATGAGTGGAGCTGCCCAATACTGTCACTGTGGCGGTGTGTCCACTCACAGGATGAGTGACGCTGCCCAATACTGTCACTATGGCGGTGTGTCCACTCACAGGATGAGTGGCGCTGCCCAATACTGTCACTATGGCGGTGTGTCCACTCACAGGATGAGTGGCGCTGCCCAATACTGTCACTATGGCGGTGTGTCCACTCACAGGATGAGTGGCGCTGCCCAATACTGTCACTATGGCGGTGTGTCCACTCACAGGATGAGTGACGCTGCCCAATACTGTCACTATGGCGGTGCGTCCACTCACAGGATGAGTGACGCTGCCCAATACTGTCACTATGGCGGTGTGTCCACTCAAGATGAGTGGCGCTGCCCAATACTGTCACTATGGCGGTGTGTCCACTCACAAGATGAGTGGCGCTGCCCAATACTGTCACTATGGCGGTGTGTCCACTCACAGGATGAGTGGCGCTGCCCAATACTGTCACTATGGCGGTGTGTCCACTCACAAGATGAGTGGCGCTGCCCAATACTGTCACTATGGCGGTGTGTCCACTCACAGGATGAGTGGCGCTGCCCAATACTGTCACTATGGCGGTGTGTCCACTCACAGGATGAGTGGCGCTGCCCAATACTGTCACTATGGCGGTGTGTCCACTCACAGGATGAGTGGCGCTGCCCAATACTGTCACTATGGCGGTGTGTCCACTCACAAGATGAGTGGCGCTGCCCAATACTGTCACTATGGCGGTGTGTCCACTCACAAGATGAGTGGCGCTGCCCAATACTGTCACTATGGCGGTGTGTCCACTCACAAGATGAGTGGCGCTGCCCAATACTGTCACTATGGCGGTGTGTCCACTCACAGATGAGTGACGCTGCCCA